CCCCGGTACCCCGTGTTTGTCCCCAGTACCCCGTGTTTGCCCCAAGTACTCCGTGTTTGCCCCCAGTACCCCGTTTCTGCCCCCAGTACCCCGTGTTTGTCTCCAGTACCCCGTGTTTGTCTCCAGTACCCCGTGTTTGCCCCCAGTACCCCGTGTTTGCCCCCAGTACCCCGTGTTTGTCCCCAGTACCCCGTGTTTGTTCCCAGTACCCCGTGTTTGCCCCCAGTACCCCGTGTTTGTCCCCAGTACCCCGTGTTTGTCTCCAGTACCCCGTGTTTGTATCCAGTACCACGTGTTTGTCTCCAGTACCCCGTGTTTGCCCCCAGTACCCCGTGTTTGCCCCCAGTACCCCGTGTTTGTCCCCAGTACCACGTGTTTGTCTCCAGTACCCCATGTTTGTCTCCAGTACCCCATGTTTGTCCCCAGTACCCCGTGTTTGTCTCCAGTACCCCGTGTCTGTCCCCAGTACCCCGTGTTTGTCTCCAGTACCCCGTGTTTGTCCCCAGCACACGTGTTTGTCCCCAGTACCCCGTGTATTTGCCCCCAGTACCCCGTGTTTGTTCCCAGTACCCCGTGTCTGCCCCCAGTACCACGTGTTTGTCTCCAGTACCCCGTGTTTGCCCCCAGTACCCCGTGTTTGCCCCTAGTACCCCGTGTTTGTCCCCAGTACCCCGTGTTTGTTCCCAGTACCCCGTGTTTGCCCCCAGTACCCCGTGTTTGTCCCCAATACCCCGTGTTTGTCTCCAGTACCCCATGTTTGTCTCCAGTACCACGTGTTTGTCTCCAGTACCCCGTGTTTGTCTCCAGTACCCCGTGTTTGTCTCCAGTACCCCGTGTTTGCCCCCAGTACCCCGTGTTTGCCCCCAGTACCCCGTGTTTGCCTCCAGTACCCCGTGTTTGCCCCCAGTACCCCGTGTTTGCCCCCAGTACCCCGTGTTTGTTCCAAGTACCCCGTGTTTGTCCCCAGTACCCCGTGTTTGTCCCCAGTACCCCGTGTCTGTCCCCAGTACCCCGTGTTTGTCTCCAGTACCCCGTGTTTGTCCCCAGTACCACGTGTTTGTCCCCAGTACCCCGTGTTTGCCCCCAGTACCCCGTGTTTGTTCCCAGTACCCCGTGTTTATCTCCAGTACCCCGTGTTTGTCTCCAGTACCCCGTGTCTGTCCCCAGTACCCCGTGTTTGTCTCCAGTACCCCGTGTTTGTCCCAAATACCCCGTGTTTGTCCCCAGTACCACGTGTTTGTCCCCAGTACCCCGTGTTTGCCCCAGTACCCCGTGTTTGTCCCCAGTACCCCGTGTTTGTCTCCAGTACCCCGTGTTTGTTCCCAGTACCACGTGTTTGTCCCCAGTACCCCGTGTTTGTCCCCAGTACTCCGTGTTTGTCCCCAGTACCCCGTGTTTGCCCCCAGTACCCCGTGTTTGTCCCCAGTACCCCGTGTTTGTCCCCAGTACCACGTGTTTGTGCCCAGTACCCCGTGTTTGTCCCCAGTACTCCGTGTTTGCACCCAGTACCCCGTGTTTGTCCCCAGTACCACGTGTTTGTCCCCAGTACCACGTATTTGCCCCCAGTACCCCGTGTTTGCCCCCAGTACCCCGTGATTGCCCCCAGTACCCCGTGTTTTTTCCCCAGTACCCCGTGTTTGTCCCCAGTATTCCGTGTCTGACCCCAGTATTCCGTGCCTGTCCCCAGTACCCCATGTTTGTCCCCAGTACCCCATGTTTGTCCCCAATACCCCGTGTTTGTCCCCAGTATCACGTGTCTGTCCCCAGTACCCTTGACAGCGGTACCACGTGTTTGTTCCCAGTACCCAATGTTTGTCTCCAGTACCCCGTGTTTGACCCCAGTACCACGTGCCTGTCCCCGGTACTAGTGCTTGTCTCCAGTACCCCATGTTTTTCTCAAGTACCCCATGTTTGTCCCCAATACCCCGTGTTTGACACCAGTACCCCGTGTTTGTCACCAGTATCACGTGTCTGTCCCCAGTACCCTGTGTTTGACAGCGGTACCACGTGTTGGTTCCCACTACAGCGTGTTTGTTCCCAGTACCCAATGTTTGTCTCCAGTACCCCGTGTTTGACCCCAGTACCACGTGCCTGTCCCCGGTACTAGTGCTTTTCCCCAGTACCTCGTGATTGTCCCCAGTACCCCGTGTTTGACAGCGGTACCACGTGTTTGTTCCCAGTACCACGTACGTGTTTGCTCCCAGTACCCCGTATTTGTCTCCAGTACCCTGTGTCTGTCCCCAGTACCCCGTGTCTGTCCCCGGTACCAGTGCTTGTCCCCGGTACCCCGTTCTGACACCTGTACCACGTGTTTGTTCCCACTACCGCGTGTTTGTTCCCACTACCGCGTGTTTGTTACCAGTACCCCATGTTTGTCTCCAGAACCACGTATTTGTTCCCAGAACCCCATGTTTGTTCCCAGTACCTTGTGTCTGTCCCTTGTACCACGTCTTTGTTCCCAGTACCACGTGTTTCTCCCAGTACCGCCTGTTTGTCCGTAGTGGTCCGTGATTGGCGTGTCGGTGCATCTCTGAGTGTCTGTTATTAGTTTCGCTGGGTAAAACATGGTGAAACATGGTGAAACGCCAATGGCCTCCTGATATTTTTCAGATGAGCTTACTAGCTTACTTTTAGACTTACAGGATGGGCTTGGGTGTACCTGTAGGGTGTACCTGTAGGCGTCCTAACGAGCGTCATGTAAACGTCAACGTAAGGCAACGTGGCAGATTTGGGGATGGGTCTGTGATGATATGGTTGGATCATTATGACTGCCAGAACGCAGAACGTCCATGGAAGAGTCACTGGACAGTACTACCGAGAAAACATACTGGCGTCAATACTAACTGTTGCGTCAATAGTTGTGGAAATAGTGGACTACGTTTTGTCTTCCAAGATGATAAAGGGGCGGTCGGGTAGCCTAGTGGTTAAAGCGTTCGCCACGCCGAAAACCCGGGTTCGAATCCCGACATGGGTACAATGTGTGAAGCCCGTTTCTGGTGTCCCCCGCCGTGATATTGCTGGAATATTGCTAAAAGCGGCGTAAAATCAAACTCACTCACTCACTCGAAGATGATAATGCTCTTTCCAGTGTAACTGACATCCTCCAGCAGCAATACATCACCAGCATGCAATGGTCAGCCATGTGCCCTGACCTTTCCCCCACAGAGCGTGTCTGGTGAATGACGGGGATGTGTGAAAGCCGACGTCAAAGGCCACCCGAACAGGGTCAGGCGCTGCAAGAGCAGTGTGGGAATGATGTGTGAAGCCCGTTTCTGTTGTCCCCAGAAACACGTCTTCAAACACGTGTACAACATGTCTTCCCGGGTCAAGGGAGTTAACTGACTTTAAGTCCCTGTTTCCACCCTTGCCGAACTAGGCTGAAATTTCTTGGCTCGATAGTAGCGCCACCAGTGGATATTACGAGTTATGTCCCTTCTATGTCCTCCCTACTGACCAATCAAGTTCCACCGGTCAGATCTCTTGCACTTGCTTTCAATCTCATTAAAATCAGACCTTAGTTTTCGCTACCGCTAAACAAAGATCTGAAGACATCCCATTAGGGGTCACGTCAGAACGACCTTTCATCCGACCAATCAGAGCGTCGCTTACCAGGTTATGAAAGTGACAGTCGGAATGTGATTTCTATTCATGCAACCTCGAAAACTTTAACATGGGGTATTCCGAACGATAATTACAGGTTTAACGACTTACAATCTAGACCATCTATCAGCCTTTCCAGAATGTTGTTTTGTTCAGGTTTCAAATATATAATCGAGAATTTGTCAAAATATGTTTCGAAGCGTAGTCACCAATTTGAAATTAGTACCGTAAAGCACGAGAAAGCTGCCTTCTGATTGGTCATTCCATTGGTCGGTCAAAGTTCGACGTGACCCGTAAAATGTCCTCAGATCTTAGTTTAGCGGTAGCGAGAACTAAGATCTGATTTTAATGAGATTGACTTGCTTCAGACAAGATTGCGTCACCCAGTCAAGACGATTTCATCGATAATAAAGATAAAAACGTTGACGTCTTGAATTGTAATCGCCGCTCACTGATATTCCAGCAACATGGGCGGCCTGTCAAGACCAGAAAAGCAATGTATTGATAACTATGAGCAGCGTACGACTTCTGGGTACTGTGACACGCCCTATCAACGGGATCCATTAAGTCGCACCTTACGGAAAGCATAGGATGCTAGGGATTCATTCATTTTAACCTGATTTCGCCACCATGTCTTTTCCATGATCAGGTGTCATGTAGGTGGTATTCTCTTATATCTACCAACCCGAGGCAAGGGAGGTTACTGGAATATGGAGTTATATTTTGGCTGGGCTAACGAGTTTATGCATTGTCCAATCGAAATCGCGAAACGAAATCGACATCCGGGTGCCGTGCAGATTTCGGTCGATTGTAGGATTTGCAAAACTTTTCGCGTTTTTTATCCACGTGCTCAAGTCATTTAATGCATTTCTCGAGGTAAGACCCGTTTTGACATGGCGCCTACATTTCTTTAAACAGAAGGGGCATAACTCGTAATGCCCACTCCTGGCGCTTCGATCGGGCCACGAAGTTCCTGCCAAGCTCGGCATTGGTCGAAACAGGGCCATTCTGGTCAGGTAACTCCCTTGCCTCGAGAAGATGCTTGTGTATGTGATCAGGTTCTCTGTATGTGATAATATGTTATATCTACCTTCTTGTGTCTTTGCAGCAACCCATGCCGTAAAAGGTGACTATGCTTGTCGTAAGAGGCGACTAACGGAATCGGAAGGTCAGGCTCGCTGACTTGGTTGATGCATGTCCTCGTATCCCAACTACGTGGATCGATGCTCATGTCTTCAATCACTGGATTGTCTGGTCCAGACGTGATTATTTACAGACCACCGTTATATGGATGGAATATTGCTGAGTGCGGCTTAAAACAACAAACAAACAAACAAAACTTGTGTCTTTGATCTGAGTGAGTGAGACTACATTTTCACCATATCTGTCTTTCGTTTCAGATAACTATCACTACCAACATTCGATGACAAAAAACTAGCTGGCCACGAGTAACCTTCTCACACACAGACTTGCTCCAAGCGACTCGATACGACTTTCCGGAACCGGAAATGCATAAGCAACGACACATGTTGTAGCTGTGGTGAAATAACACTGTCACGTGTTTTGATATAGAGCCCATGTACCATTGACGGTGATAGGTAGTGTACCAAGAGACCTTCTGCAGATGTACGCGAACCTGTGTGTGCAAAACACCGTAGACTGCAGTCTCGGGGTATGATACGGTCGTGCAGAAGAAGGCATCGTGAAAACCCTTGATAAAACCTGACGCACAACAAAGCACCGGAAGTCTTTGTTAGGGAGGTAATATAGTTATTCGCTGTTCAAAGAACCAAAGGACCAAAACAACATTTCGTTGGAGGAAGGCAGTAAAAGTACACCCCATGTGAACTCTCCGTTATCATTTTTGGCGTTGATAAACTTTAAAGAATTAATTCAAGAGAGAATTGGTCGATGGATATGTTTTTTTCCTTTCACCGACGTCTGTGATCGTGAAGAAAACCATCTCTCCACGATGAAGTACATTAAACGTTCCAAACTCCAGTTCGGTGTGGGCCTGACATTAGGTTTTGTTATATCAATAATATTCTTTCAATCTGGGATTGTCTACAAACCACATGTGCGAATACCTCTTGAGTTGGACACTGGTCACGTGATCGGGATGTCCGGCTTGGACCTTGTGAAACAAGGACCCCACGGGGGACAGATGGACGACTCCCACGTCCACCATGGTAAGCAATCCATCACGTCTTATCGGGACTGCACATGTTTAAGCCCCGTGCTAAATAACAGATTTTGCCTATTTTGATTGAACAACATTTTATCCAAATTTTATCCCGGACGAAAAGGACAAAAAACATGCTAGGTAGAATGAATATGGGTAAGTGTAATGAAACAAAATTCACAAGAGAGAGAAACACTTTGACATAAGACATGCTTTTCTTTTTCAGCTTGAAAATTATTAACCAAGGACACGTTTAAAATTGAAATGATAGCTGTCCAAAAACATAACAAAAAAACAATATCGTAGTTATGCGTGTCTCATATACGTTTAAAACGTCACACTGAGTATCCAGAATATCGGCAAAGTTTGGGCTCCAATAACTTGCGGTAGCTTGTGAGGCCTTTACACAGGATGGCGACCTTTGTGCCTCCCGTGTGCGACCATAACATGTGCCAGGTCGTCGTTGGAGGCTCAAAAGAGGCAGAATGGTTGCCTAGGTCGTTCCAAGGTGGTACACGGGAGGTTCAGACATCGCCATGGACGCCATGGTCGCCGTGAATTTTTGAACATGTTCAAAACAGTCACACAAGGGTCGCCGAGGAGGTTGGTTATTCAAAGGTGGCTCAAAGGAGGCAGAAGGGATGCACAAGCATTGCCGTTCAATCTTGGTGATGCTTCTGCCTCCCTTGTGCATCCTTTGGGCGACCAACAGCGTGCATTGAACGATGACTGTGGCGACCACCATGCCTCCATTCGGCGACCACGGCAACCCTTGAGACACCATGGCAATGCTTCTGCCTCCTGTGAGCTACCTGTAGTGCCTCCACAGTCTGCCTATAAATAGAGGGCTTGTACCTGCAGTGTTTCACTGTGGATGCAGACGCTGAACAACTCGAGCAGTTACTGCTGAACAACTGCTGGAGCTGTTACATAGATACATGATTTTCTGGGTTTAGGCGACCATTCCTGGTCCTGGACAGTTTTTGATCGCTCAAAGGTGGCACAAAGGTCGCAGCCCTGTGTAAAGGGGGCTTTGTCGCAGTTTAACATGAACACCCCACTCCGAGCAGTATACAGTCTTTTATTTTATCCCCTTAATGCCGAGTGCAAAGCAGGGTAACAACAAGTACCATCTTTTAACGTATTTTGGTATGATTGGGCCAGGAGATCGAACCACCCTCCTTCCGCTCTCCGGGCAAACGCCCTGTCCACTGCACCAAGAAGGCGATCCTCATAGTTTTAGATCACAGGGGTATTATTGTGGTCATTGTGGTTTCTGCTCATGCTCCTTTGGTGTATCCTTGGAGCCATTGGCTCCCTTGGTTTGTCTGCACCGTGCTTGTAGGTAACCACGTGATTTCGAATGTCTCCCCAAGAAGCGAACATTCTGTGACGGAACTGAAATACTGTTCACAGATGCATGTACGTCGCTATGTTAGTGCGTTAGTGGGTGAGTGAGTGAGTGAGTGAGTGAGTGAATAGTTATAGTCACATCGGCAATAGTTCAGCCATATCGTGACTAAATCAAGTTATACAGTAATAATACATACAGTTTGATCATAAAACCTATCGACAAAGGACAGTATAAAACTAGATTATCACAGATGTATATTCTAAAACTAGTATGGAACCATATAAAGATAAATACCAGTACATCATAAAAACGGGCTGTAGATCGCCAGCAACCAAAGTTAGGCCACCATACAAGGCATCATGGGGACTTGCGGTACATCTGCTTCCTGCATGGTACCCCAGCAGGATTTACAGCATCCCTTAGCGGCGATAATCGTCAAGTTTAGCCAATACTAAAAGAAACATGTATACTACGACTAAAAAGGTAGAAGGAATAAACTTACTTCGAATGATGTGGTCCTGCATATCCTCTCAGGGGGACAATAATGTTACAGTACTTCATCCCCCTTTGAGGATACAGCCACTAACAATCTCAGTTACAAGTTAAACACTACTGATACAGTAAAATGGTTTCTGTACACAGATTCAAAATTTATCTGTCAGTTCAATTTTTTTTTAAAGCAATGATCATGCACGCGACGTTAACCCAATTTCACCATCAATATATAAATGAAATGTTAAAGCTGCGTTAAACCAAACACACTCACTCACCAAAGGAGATATAACTGTTGTCATTCGTTCATTCAAAGGGGCAAGGCCCAGTCGTCTGAGGCGCCGCAATTCGCTGCGCAGAGTTGCGTCCCTTGGGTACGCCAGAAACCTATGATTGTGGGTTCGAAATCTGGTTTGACCCGATTCTGTTTCTTGGTTTGTATGCATCATATGCGTACTCGTGGGTTTCGCCGAAGTGGTAAACGTCTAAGACCTGCATCACTTCGGGCTCTCCTCCCACATTAAGTTGACACGCTGTGATATAACTCGAATACTGTTAAAAGCGGCCTTAAATATAATTCACTCACTCACTATCCTACATCATTTAACAGGATTTTAAATCCAACGATAAGAAACAGGTAGTATCTGAATATGACTTGTTTCACTTTCCGAAGATAATTACATACTTTTTCCACAGACCAGTTACGATTTATTTTAACACCGATTCTCTTGCAGACGACACTTCGATAGCCGATAACATGGCCAAAAAAGTCCGCGTGCTCTGTTGGGTGATGACGTCACCGACCAACTTCCGGACCAAAGCGGATGTTGTCAAGGAAACGTGGGGACACCGCTGCAACATCCTTTTATTCTTCAGCTCCGTGGTCGACCCCCACCTCCCGACGATCGCGCTCAACGTGTCTGAAGGCCGGAAACATCTGACAGCCAAGACGATGCAAGGTTTCAAATACGTCTACGACCACTACTACGACCAAGCCGACTGGTTTATGAAATGCGACGATGACACGTACGTCATTGTGGAAAATCTGCGATATTTTCTGTCCACGAGGAACACGTCTGAACCGATATACTATGGCCACCATTTCCACACCATAGTCAAGCAAGGATACTACAGCGGAGGTGCTGGCTACGTATTGAGCAAAGAGGCCCTGACAAGGTTTGCTAAACGGGACCCAAACATATGCCGGGAGGACGGAGGGTCGGAAGACGCCGAGATAGGGAAATGCATGGAAAAAATAGGAATCAGGACCGGTAACTCCGCCGACGCTCTTGGAAGATCCCGTTTCCACTGTTTCTCGCCAGATACGCACGTGAACGGCGGGTTCCCCAAGTGGTACTACAACTACGTGAAGGGTGGGCCTAAGCAGGTCAGTAGGTCATTGACCTTTTCGTGTCAGATTATTACACCATATATGTCTCCGGGTTTGGGGGGCACGGGCGGCCCAGTGTTTTAAGGCCCACAATTCGCTGTGCAGAGTTGCATCCCTTGGGTAAGACAGAAACCTATGATTATGTTTCTAGGTTTGTCTGCACCATACGCTTGCCCGTTGGGTTCATCATGGACCCTAAATATATCGTATTAAGTGTCCATGGTTTCACCAAAGTGTTAAATGTTCGAGACCAGCTCGTCGGGTTTCCTTCCCTCATTAAGCGGACACGACGTCAGGAACAATGTTTAAAGCGGCGTTAAAGCCAACACACTCACTCGTAGAGGAGGAATCATGTGAAAACTGTGATAGTACTCTTTCCGTTACGGCAATGCTGGGAACATGGATATAGGATTAAAGGGAGATAATTATGTATACTAAGATTCGATTGGCATTCTGGGTAGGATAAGAGTGACGTGAAACTGCTCTTTGGCTCATTAGCTCTACGTGAATCTTGATGTGACCAGGGGAATTGTACGATTAGACAGTTTAGATCTGTGTACTTTGAACATGTTTGTTTTCATCTTTAGACCTCCAGTGTAAACAAAAGTCTTTTATCTGCCCTTGTTACACTTCAGTCGTCGAGGGGCACGGGTGGCCCAGTGGTCTAAGGCGCCGCGATTCACTGTGCATAGTTGCGTCCCTTGGGCACGCCAGAAACCTATGATTGTGGGTTCGAATCCCGGTTCGCCCCGATTACGTTTCTAGATTTGTCAGCACCATACCCGTGTTCGTGGGTTTCACCGAAGTGGTAAACGTCTGAGACCTGCATCACTTAGGATTTTCCTCCCACATCAAGCTGACACGCCGTGATATGACTGGAATACTGTTAAAAAGCGGCGTTAAACCTAACTCACTCACTTCAGTCGTGTATCGAGAGGAATCGTGTATATATCCTCGCGTGGTTCCAAGGCAGATTATGTTTCTAGGTTTGTCAGCACCGGGTTTCACCGTAGTAGTAATTTAAAGGTCTGAGACCTGCATCACTTCGGGCTTACCTCCCACATTAAGCTGACACGCCGTGATATAACTGGAATACTTTTCAAAGCGGCGTTAAACCCAACTCACTCACTCACTATAAGCCTCCGATGTGATTGGCTGAGTTAAAAGGTCACCTGACGCGACGTCCTTTGAAATTGCTCTCAAATTTTCACGCAGATAGGTATCGTATAGCAGTAAAAGATTTGATTTTAATATGATTTGGGGCAGGGTTATCTTGACCCGTCGCAAGCAGGGGTCTGAAAATAATGTGGGATGGTCTAACAGTTAAATCGTTCACGTCTACTATCCCACACACAGGTATAATGTTATTCTCACCGGAATATTGTTAAGTAATATTCACCCCCTTCCATCACCTAAATAGGCATTGTAGATGTATATTGACCCAATGTTTAATTAGTCCTCAAATCGACCTGTGAAGTTCCGGGTAGAGAAAAGGTCTTCAACAACCCATGCATGCCGCAAGAGGCGTCTAACGGGATCGGATCGCCAGGCTCGCTGACTTGGTTGATGCGTGTCATCGTATCCCATTTGAGTAGATCGATACTCTTAATGTCAATCACTGGGTTGTCTGGTCCAGACTCAATTACAAACCGCCGACATACAGCTGGAATGTTGCAAAGTGCAACAACAAACAAAATAAGCTTATATTATATTCAAACATAATTTCTTAAAATGATTGATGATTTGTGTTTCAGGGTATAGAAAATATCAGCGACTACGCAATTTCATTCCATTACGTCTCTCCGAAGAAAATGGCGAGCCTGGAGTTCTTCGTCTACCATCTCCGACCGTATGGGATCATAACACAAAATCAGGCCTTGAACTAGAGCCCCACATTCCCGGCTTCCTGCCAAGTGTTGGCAGCCACAAAGAACCGCTTGGAGTTATCGCCCTTGTTGCCATGATGCTAGGGCCTGTTGAAAGGTTGGGGTGTTGAATACCACAGGAGAGCATCATGAAGGAACGGGTGTCTCGTTACTACGCAATTTGACAGCCCACTCATTCAGAAAGACTCCCCCGCTTTTCCGAATCTGACGTCTTGAGATATCGAGGTCAAGGACATTGTATCTGTTATTTATTAATGATTACTTAAATGAGTGTCGTGTGACGCTTCGTCGTGTTTGTGGCGGTATTCGATTGTGTGAAGAGTGTTATGCTTGGAGAGGTATGCTATGGTTTCCTGTGTCAAGGGGAGACAACCTTCAGTGCATTTAGCACAAACTCATTAGTGTCGTCAGGTGGCGCTCGTGCCTCGCTACCTGACGTATCAATCAATGACAAAGGCGTCAAAATGAGGAACTTTGCATGTAACCGTGCATATTGACATTGAACATAAAGTGGTTGATACAGCTCGCGTTATCAACGACTTCCTGGTGCTGTGGTACTCTCATGTGTATTGAAATGTGTGCTCGTTGAAGTAACACCTGGTTACACGACAACATGAATGGAAATGGATGTTGATACCATGGCAACCAGGGATTTGTAAACCCTTCATGAGTACGATGTATTCCCCGGAAATCAAAGTTGTTTCAAAGACATAAATTTACTGTTATTTAAGTCTGTGGGTTGATAAAGGTGTAAATACATCTGTGTTTTTGTTCATAAAGCAATCTTTGAAATCAATTTCAAACAGATGACACGCCCAGGATGGAGCTGAAATACCGTACACAGTGGTGTTAAACCCATCCCACTTATGACGGGTACGGGTGGCCCAGTCATGCAAATCAGAGTTGCCCGGACCGGGTTCGAATCCCATATTCGTCCTGATATGTTTCTTTATTTGTACGCACCATGCCCGTGCCCGTGCCCACCCCTCACACACACACACACACACACACACACACAAACACACACACACACACTTAGCTGGCACCCCGTGGTGATACAACACTGGACTACTGTTAAAAGCGTTGTTAAACCCAATCCACACACTCACTCACAGTCATCCTGACAATACAAAGGTGATTTTCAGCAGACATTACTATTCAGTGAATTACCTGTATATATTAACTGAAGAATAGCAAATGTTTTTTTCTTGAATGTTTTAAACTTATTTTTTGTTTCTTTCATTAATGCAACCATTCACGGAGAGCGTGAGCGTGAGTCAATACACACTGCTCCTGTGTATACATGACAGGGCCTATGTAAGAAAATGTTATATCCACCGTGCCCAAAGCCCCGTGAAGATCCAGGTTAGAATTGGTCTTTAGCAACCGACACTTGTGGTTCGGGGCGGATAACAGGATCCGATGGTGAGGCGACTATGCTTGTCGCAAGAGGCGTCAACGGGATCGGATCGCAAGGCTCGCTGACTTGGTTGTAGCCTGCCATCGTACATCTTCCCGAGGCAAGAGAGTTAAATGACTTTATAAGTCCAGTTTCCACCCTTGCCGAACTGGCTATTACCAGTTATGACCCTTCTAAGCCTCTCCTATGGACCAATCAGATTCCACCTATCGTATCACTTGCGTTTGCTTCACACAAAATGGTGGCGCCCGGTCAGTTCGATCTCATCGCCAATCAAGATCTATATTCAATCTCATTAAAATCAGGTCTTAGTTCTCGCTGCCGCTAAACAAAGCTTAGCGGTAGCGTGAACTAAGATCTGATTTTAATGAGATTGGATCTATATTGTGATAAAACGGGTCTTACGTCACGTGAGCACCTTGATTAAAAACATGAAAACATTTGGAAAATATCTGCTGACAACGAGTTGGCGGTGAACATGCTTTGCAAATCCTGCAATCAACCGAAATCTGCACGACAGTTTACGAACCGGATTTCGATTTCGGTGCGCGATTTTGATTGGACTATGCATAGACTCGTTAGTCCAGCCAAAATGTAACTCCATAATACTAACCTAGTTCGGCAAGTGAGTGAGTGAGTGAGTATGGTTTTACGCCGCTTTTAGCAATATTCCAGCAATATCACGGCGGGGGATACCAGAAATGGGCTTCACACATTGTACCCATGTCGGGAATCGAACCCGGGTCTTCGGCGTGACGAGCGAACGCTTTAACCACTAGGCTACCCGACCGCCCAGTTCGGCAAGGGTGGTAACTGGACTTTTATAGTCAGTTAACTCTCTTGCCTCGGGAAGATGGCCATCGTATCACAATTGCATCCTTGATCAATGCTCTTGATGTCAAAAACTGGATTGTCTGGTCGAAACCCGATTATTTACAACAGCTGGTATATTGCTGAATGTGGCGTTAAACAACACAGAACACACAGGGGTGTATATATATTTGTATTTCTAAATATACTAAAGGAAAAAAGTAATTGTTCTTCATATAAAGTGGTGTAAATGTTATATTATTTAAACTAACAACATACTATTTGGTCCTTCGTCAGATCAATGTTTCACTGTAACAAATTTATTGACAAAACCCATACCTTGTAGCAGGTGACAGAGTGACACCCTAAAAGGGGGATGGTGTAACAACTCTTTTAACAATGGCAATATCGGGTGTGACCACCATTTGCGTTGATACAGGCGAGGCAGTGGGTGGTGCATTGATGACACCAGATGAATGAAACCAGCCTGGGGGTGATATTCCAAATGTCAACCAAAGATTGTTCCAACTGAGCTAGCGTCACCGGCTGTTTCTTGTCTCGTCGAAGTCGACGTTCCGAGCAGTATACCAATGCTATGCTGACTCAAAAGGTCTGTTACAACACGTGCAACATGTGGGCGGGCATCACCCTGCTGCAACGTGACGTTACGTCCTTATAATTGCACAAAGGGTAGGACATGCTCACGAATGATATCGTCACGGTAGCGTTCGCGATTCACATTGCCATTAACAATGATGTGTTGTTTGCCCATGAGGTGTGATGCCACCCTATACCATTACAATTCCACCCCAAAACTGACGACGTTGAGTAACGTAAGCGTCGCTAATACGTTCTCTCCTGGAGGCCTGTGTCCCCTTGCACGTCAACCAGAGCTGTCCAGGTGAATCCTGGCCTCACTTGTGTCCCCGTCATGTCTTTTGAACCTGAGATACTGTCTTCACCAAGCTAGCCATGCCTGACGGTGACGGTAACGTGAAAGCAAAATTAGGCGTATATTTGGACGCCGGGTGTTGTGCCCCCTCAACCTTTGGCGTACGGTTCTGTCACTAATTGGTCTCAACTCAGGAACTGTTCGAGCTGTTAATGTGGCAGTTTGGTATCGATTCCTTAGATGCACCAACCGAATATGGTTGTCTTCTTGACGTTACGTCATACGTGGACGACCGGCCCATGGCAAGTCATGAGTGTAGGGAGATCTGTACAAGATGTTACTTTGTTTTGATTGATGTGCCGGAGGTTTGATCCAGGTAAACTCTCTCACTCCCTAACTCAACATTGCTCAATTGGCAGGAATCGTTGCCCTTGGGCGTCCAGAGCGGCGTCGATCATCGACGTTATGTGCCTGTTAGTCTCGGGCCCATAATCTGCTAATGACAGATTGAGAAAAATGCAGGGTTCAGGCACACAATATTCTGACGTGTGCCCACCTGCAACATGCCTATAGCACGTACATGTTCAGCACGTTGCAAACGTCAATGCTGTTGCTTCCTGAATGATTAAATGTGTTAAATAAAGTGTCTTTGAGCGTTTGGTTCCAAGCAAACAATTTGCATCTGCTCATAACCGAGTCTGGGTGACAATGGTAAATCTTGCATACCACCCCCTGCACGTGCTGTTCGAGGTCACGCGCTTCATGACTGTCACAATGTTACGTTAGGGTGCTTGATTTCTTCGGAAATGTTCTTGCCATATACTTACTATCATTTCCAGAATACAGTCTCGATGTCACCAAGTTATCGGAGTTCGGTTTTGACTGCCGTCGAGTTCGGACGTCTTTTGCTTCTCAGCAACTTGTCTAGTGTTATACAACACACTTGACTGTGTATGGTACTACATCTTTGGTTCTTTTGGCTTTTGATTTCTCTTGTGTTGGAGTGCATTCAAACTTTCTATTTGGTGTTTGCTTATTGTTACAGTCAGTTGTTGGGGATTGTCCTCGGCAATGGCTGACCACTGAATGGAATGTGAGGAAGGATTTAAAGTGGTGGCTTCAGGGAGGAAGCGAATCGGTCGTATTCCAGATGGTACTTCTAAAAAAGCCTGTGTTGCCAAGCAACCAAATACTGTTCCTTCTACTGCAAGGTCTGATCTTACTTTTGTCTTTGATGAGCCAGCGCGGGTCAAATCAACCACTGTTATCTTCAAAGCCGATGTAGAATATGATGATGGTTCAACGACCCTCTGTCAACTTATGACACAGCGTGCTTTGGCTAGAGCCTTGCCTAAGATTACTACAGAAATAGTCAGTGTTAAGCCGATGGCCAGGGGAGATGTTAGTGTCAATGCAAAAACCGTTGAGGCTGCCAAAACACTTTTGCAAGTCACAGAACTTGATGAACATTTTGTCACCCCTCATGAGCCTGAATCCTTAATGAGAACACGTGGAGTCATCTATGGTATTGATCTGGATATTGAGATGAATGAAATTGAGGACGAGTTGAAACCTGTGTTACCTCTAATGTGCTCTGCTGTGCGTCTGACTCGTGGGCCTGATAAAGTTCCCTCCAAATCTGTTCTTCTTACATTTACTGGCCAGTCTTTACCAGATCATGTTGTCATTTTCTTCCAGAGATTTCCAATCCGGATGTATGTTCCTCCTGCTCTGCGATGCTTCAAGTGTCAGTCCTTTGGGCATGTCTCTGCTAAGTGTAGGAGCACTCATCATGTGTGCGCTAAATGTGGAGGGAAGCACAAATACGAGGAATGCAGTGAAAGTTCACTTAAATGTAAGAACTGTGGTGGTGCACACTCTGCGGCATACAAAGGTTGCATTAAATACCAGGAAGCTGTCCAGATTCAGAAAGTCCGAGTGGAGGGTAAGTTGTCTTATTCTCAGGCTGTTCGACAGGTGCGTGGAGATTTAGATGTCGCTCGGGTTCCAGCAGTCCCTAAACCACCTCCTGCAGCTAAACCACTGTCTCAGGTTGTTACAATTTCAGATGTTGTGTCTTCTCCAGTCATGGTGACTGCTAGTACTCCGACTGAAACTTTGGAAGTTGAATGTCAGACTGATCCTGTTGTTGACATCATGCCTGAATCATCTTGCAAACCTCTATTTAACAATGTCTCTCCTGTTGATTTTCTCAACTTTGTTATTTGTATAGTTGCTAATCTTGGCACTACTCGTGCATTCAAGTCTGATGGTCTCCAGACGATAGCGTCAGCTGCCCATTCCCTCTTGGGGTTAAGATTGTCCCCTGATGATCTGACGAGCATGGTTAAGGGTCAACAATGGAAGTCTTAATCCATCCTTCTTATGGCTCTCTTGATGCTAGATCACTAAGCGCTAACGGTCCAGGATTTAAAGTTTGTATTAACAGTCTTGACCCAAAGCGAGATGTTTTGTCTTCAGGAGACATTCCTAACTCCTAACCAGCAATTCCGTTGGGAAGGTTATGTCTGCCTACGTAAAGATCGTCAGTTTGGTTTTACAGGCGGTAGTGCTAAACTCACTCACTCACTGTCGTTTAGTGAAATAAGGTTCCACCATCCCAATTACAAGGGAATG